AGTTAGTAGGTTGCAGGTTTTTCTTAAAGAGTAGTCGAATAGGAAAAGAACATATATAAAATATGTATCATAGCGCATGCAATTTCCAATCATAGTTTAGTTACTGGCCATAGAACAAACTGGAACAGTGAAATTCTTGCGTTTGAATCTCATGCAACAAAAAGAGAAATAAAAGAAAGTTTACTAATGGACATACACAGGAGAAAGAAAATTAGGAATATTTATTCTCAAAAAACGCTTATTCTCAATGTTTTCTGATGACACATCGGGTCATGTAGGACAGATATAGGACTAGTTTGTATTTTTATTATTTTTCTTTTGTGTTCTAGACATGTGTTTCTTCTTTTTCTTTTATGCTTAAAAGGAGATGATAAATGTTTTTGCCATCATATGACTGATGATGTCTTTTGAATAAAGACGAAACTAGTCTCAAGTGAAATTGTAACTTCATTATGTATAAGGTGGTGTTTAGAACTAAAGGTCTTAGCAACTTTTTACTTCAGGAAAAACCGATAGAAGCAATTCTATACAGCCTAAAGTCGAAAGATTGACCGATACGCTACTTCTACAGATAAGGCTTCTATTAACTTACACATCAGTAGTGCAGAAAACTAAAAGAGTTGTTCCTTTCTTTCGCTTTCTGCACTACTGATACTTTGCCGAAGATCAAATTTTGCTAAATGTCTTTTATGGATGGTACCAATCTGTTCAAATCTTGATCGATCGTTTGAAACGTATCGATATCACAGTCACCTATATTTCTGGTGGTATTTCAACGTATGAAGGGAAACCGAATGCATTTGATTTTGATGTTATCATTTTAATGCCTGGCAGAGACGAATTAGGGATTGTGCCAGTAAAGAGACAACAATCCATTGTAGATGCTGTGCAAATACGAGAAAAAGGCATTGTTAGGACAGAATTCTCAACGACTCGCGCAGACATTAAATAATAGAAAATACTTTCGACAATTCTTTTATCGATTGTTCGGACCTTACGAAAGCCACGTAGGGGGTGTAGTAGCTAGTTGTTTTCTGAATAACTCAAAGATGATCAAAGGTAGAAAAGACGATAAATGGCTCTGTTTTTTCCGTAGCCATATGACTGCTTTGTACTTCGTTCTGGGACTTTCTAAAATCATGAAAACATACGTTATCGAACACGCTGAATCTCGTGACAAACGTTAATTTTCAGAAGAAAGTGCAGGAACGGAGTGAAAATCTGTATTAGGTGAATACACCATTTTGGACTATTTTCATCAAAAATTAAAAAAGTTGATAACTCAGTCAAAATCTTATTCTTTTGAAAAGTAAATATACAGTTTTATAGCGCTTGAAAAGCTAAAACGAATGATGTATCGTGTGATTATTTTCAAGGAACGGTTGATATGCAAATAAAAATGTAAATCACTGAACTAACCGTAATCGGCGTTAATTAGAATTAATTAATGATTAATCTATATCCCAGCAAAGCTTTTTCTAAAATATCTTAAACGCGATCATAACTAAAAATGATTCGCGATCAAAGTACACTAGAATCACGTTTGTATAATTAGTTTTGATTAAACAGTTAAGTTTTTAAAAATATGGCTAGCAATTAAATTTTTTGCTAAAATTTTCTCTTAATTAATTTATAACTCTGTGAATACTTATGGACTGTCCGAAAACAATGCAGGATGCAGTCAAGTATTCTCTACAATCTGAGAAAGTTTAATAGTACCTTTTGTGGGGGATCCGCCCCCACTTAAATGCTTAAAATGAACTGAAAATGTTTGTTTACGAAAAAGAGTGTACATCGTATGGATATAAGAAAAGATCGTAAAAGAAAGTGAAATAACCTATTACATCATTTTTGTTCGTACTATTAATAACAAGAATACATGATTTAATATTAGAGTACAACACGCGGCACCGGCCACACCACATCTCACTGTGAAAAGGAAAAAAATAAGAAAAAATAACAAAGCGTAAATAAGTAACAGGCAACAAGACGAAATAAGAACTATCGGTTTGAAATAGGTGAAGAAGAGAACGTATTTTAAAAGCGATCTATGTTTTTGATATAGTGTTGTGACAGCCCTAGTAAGAAAGACAAATCTTATTAAGATCGTGAGATCCGAAAATTTTAAGATTTGATAAAATTCTTCTAAGATCTTACGAGGGAACCTCCACAGATGTAACATACCGTTTCCAATGATTTATATGTATAGAGGATAGTGAGCTGGTAGAAGCCATAGAAGGATTTGGGCTCATGGTATTTCTTTCAAAATTATGAACCTTTTTTGTTTGCCAGTACAAGGAAACCTATTAATACCAAAAGTTCCGTAACTTAGTTGAAACAGTGAATTAAAAGCTGACATTTTTTTCATCACTGTGCCAGATATCTATTATTATCACAGAAAGTATCAGCCTTCTACTTCAAGTTATTAAATTTTCCCGACTTAAGGAAAACTCATGTGTTTTTCAAAGAGACAAAAATGATAAGGAATAAGGAGGAAGAGGACCCCGCCTTGCGGCTACCTTGCGGTATAAAGTGCTGCCGAAGCAGTCTCGATAAGCCCGATATCTTCCCTACAGCTGATGTTCAGAGACGGTCAGTCGTTCTTCTACTAGTCACTAAGCTCCAGCTGTGGACAGAGGGCCAGCCTGGCACAGAGTTCTTTTCGCCCAATTGCTCGAGCTCCACATACACACTCACTAACCACATACTAGCGCCGAAGAACCGGTGTATGTCACAATGTAGTGAGCATGCTGTCGGACGGGTGATCCGAGACAATAAATGTTAGTACCTTGTCCAAGGTTATTCTATGGCTGGGTGGCCCCGCCCCAAAACTGTTATTTTCAGTGATTTCCACTGGTTTCCGCGATTTTTCGACTCTTCATCGAGGTAAAATCGCCGAACAGAGTGTATATTCGGAGTCAGCATGCAAGACTGCGTCGAATGACATGTCTTTAAGCATCATTTCATGACATTCATTTTTTGCCATGTACTTGTCATGATCCAGAGAGTGGTATGATAGTTTAGTGACAAAAATGAATGTCATGAAATGATGTTTAAACACATTTTGACGACGATATTCTGAAAGCATCGTCCATTCGATTTTTACTTTTAATATGACCATTGGCTAGAGAAAGTTGTTCTTTTTCGATCTCCGTAAGACCGAGCCCGCTGGTGTGTTTCGTTCAGGAGTTATAAGCATTTTTCCGAGAGCCCCAAAAGTGGCATTCCCTAAACTATCATACCACTCTCTAGATCATGACAAGTACATGGCAAAAAATGAATGTCATGAAATGATGCTTAAAGACATGTCATTCGACGCAGTCTTGCATGCTGACTCCGAATATACACTCTGTTCGGCGATTTTATCTCGATGAAGAGTCGAAAAATCGCGGAAACCAGTGTAAATCACTGAAAATAACAGTTTTGGGGCTCTCAGGAAAATGCTTATAACTCCTGAATGAAACACAGTAGCGAGCTCGGTCTTACGAAGATCGAAAAAGAACAATTTTCTCTAGCCAATGGTCATATCAAAAGTAAAAATCGGATGGGTGATGGGATCATGACTATTTTCTCCACAAGAACCTCATGTTTTTTCCAGAAGAAATCGATGTTTCTCCATAAAAGCAATTTTCTCTAGCCAATGGTCATATTAAAAGTAAAAATCAAATCGACGATATTTTCAGAATATTGTTGTCAAAATGTTGTCCAAGAACTCACCTGATTGGTCAATTAGTAACCAATGAAATTTGACATAGGTTTACGTGCCCCAATGTCTTCTATCCAACGGTGAAAACCACAGGTGTGTATCACTTTTTCTTCAAAAGTTATAAGCGATCTTCTGAAGTGCATTCTTTCAAAAACTAATTACAAGCTTTTGACCTGATATTTTGCCCATTAGTAATCTCTAAAAAATGGTATTTCACAAAAACTTGTATAGTTTCGTTTATTCCGTGAAACCAGCGGAAAGTGTTCGTGAATTGTCTTTTGAGTTGGAATAGTTTTGTACTTTACCAAAAATCATATGCGGATTTTATCTTAACTATGGTTCAAAATTTACCCACCTATGCTATAGTATAAACCTATACTTTGCTTTCAACAAAACCTTTTTCTTCAGAAAGCATTCGGCAGGAGGTGCGAGAAACTGCAACTATCATACCCATGTAAAATAAAAGTATAAAAAACCCACTTTTTATTAATAAACTTGGCTGCTAAAAGTGACTAAAGTAATAATAAACGAAGCTTTTTAAGTTACTTTTCGCGTCATAAAGTGACTTTTTCTATGAAAAGTTACTTTTTAGTGGCAAAACTAGATCAACTTTTACTTAATAAGTATCAAAGTACTTAATATTACTAGAAAAAGTGTTATTTCAACTTTTTTCGAAAAAATCTAGTAATGTTAAGTACTTTGATACTTATAATCAATGATAGCAAAGTTTTGTACTTAAAGTTTTTCGATAAATAATATCTAGATAGGGTTTAGTATTGCAAGAAGTTATTTAGTCGATATTTGATATATATCAGTTTTTCGTCAATTAAGCCGACAGTTACTGAGAAAAATTGTTCAACGACGGATAATAATCTTAATCGATTCGTCTCTATAGAGAGGAGACGGTAAAACATAGATAAAAAATATAACTATTTGGGGAACGAACGAAAGATAATAGGCCATAAGTGTACTTATTGTGAACCAATTACTGTTTATGAATTGACAACTGTCAAGAAATAAAATTATTATTTGAGGTAATTGACTAATAAAACAGACAAATGGAGCAGCTACAAATTCGAGACGAGCATATAGAACTTGTACGAACGATGCAAGATGGCCTTTATAATCTAAATTTGATTTGGATCTGCTTATATAGAAGAGAAGAGTCAATGTAGATATTGTGTTCAATGTGAATGGAACAATTTGATGAAATAACGTAGCAAGTCGAAGATAAATTGCGCTCGATGCCGATAGTTGCAGAACACACCAACTTTCTATTCGTTTTCCGCTTGAATCATTCACTGTCTTATATGAAAGAATATATATTATGCAACTTATCAATACAATCAAAATATTAATAATAATGACTTTAATAGCGAATTTAGACGAACGAAAAGACAAGTACGATCTTGGACGAACGATTGACAAAGATCGAGTTATAGTAATAAATGATAAACGAACAGAAACAAGTAGCGTCTCAAGGGTAACCGTAAATCGACCAAAAGCATATTGACATAATTTCCCACTAGAACATAATGGACATATACACGCAAAATCAGTTTTGTTAAGGCGATCACCATGTACGCATTGACCTTGATTTAAACATATACTCTTTTCAATACATTCACTCAAATCTAGATGGAATGAAACACATTCGGCACGAGTCAAATTTTGATCACATCGACAAAAATAATCATTTGTATAGAAACATTCAACATTCGAACTGTTACGACAGAATGCATGAAATAGTTCAACGTTAACATTGTTTTTCTCGGTTTTCATTAAGTTTATACAATTGACAGAATCTAAAATATTCATCGCAAATTGTGAACTTGTTTCACTTGAACAATTAGCATAAAGCAAATATAACTTCGATGTGACACTGGATATTTCCCGTTGAAAAAAGTGTATCAAACCAAGCTCAGTAAGTGCATTTTGAGAATTAAAAAATATTTTTAATGGTAATTCATATCGATGCGCTAAACTCTGTTGTCGTAAAATAGTAAAACCTTGACGAACTCCAAATAATTGTAATAAAAATGTATCTTCCAAGTTTGATAATAAATCCGTTTCGCTATTCATATATAATATGATTGAGGTAGAAACCATTTGACAACGTGCACCATGATAATGTTTATCACAAATACATGTGTAATAACCAACTTCACTATGAGCATAACAAGTTCCATTATGCATACATGGATTTGATTGACAAACTGGATTTTTTACCTTACAAAATGGAGGAAGAAAACCTTCTGGACAGATGCAAAACCAATCTTGTTCTTTGTCGGCTATTTCATTGTTAAAACTACGACATTTTGCTGGTGGTGAACATGGACAAGGTGTCGAGATAAGACGATTCTCGCAAAAACGTCCGTAGAATTCGGATGAACATTCGCAGTAGCTTTCACTAGTCTCTTGTTTGTTAATAATTACATGACATGTTCCATTATGTTGGCAAATAGAATGTGTACAGGCAAAAGGAATGAGAGAATTTTCTATTAAAGGAAAACGAAGAATTTTCGCTAAACGCTGAGATGGAAGAAAATCGAGAAACATTGGATATTCCCAAACCAATAACAAATCAACATTCGATACGCTGGATTGAAATGCTTCAAATCGAACACTGTAATGACAAGAAAGCTTCGGTCGAGAATAAAGTAAATATCGATCGTGCTTTATTTTAGAATTTTGAACCGGATCAATAAATTGTGTGTAATCAACAATTCGACTTTGATTACAAATAAGAAATGCATATATATGCAATACTTCAGTTAAATCTGTTCGATGTAAACGATCAAGACTAATTCGAAGAGGTATTCTTCTACTAAAATATTGACATCTATCCCCATAATGATTCGGTGGACAGAAACATGATATTGTTTCACCGTTCAATGTGTGTGTTTCTATAATAAGACCATGATTACATATCAACGATGAGAACTTCGCTTTTGCATTTCTTACTGAGTTTAAACTCAATCCCATGTCTATTTTATCGGTTGTTCCTGTTGTCGAACGAGTTGGTTCTGACTTTGAGCCCATACAAAAGTCAACGTAGTTTGATGAAGATTTCTTAGTTGCTCGATACACATTCGACCTAGGACACCAGAATAAATGTTCATTATGTGAACACTTATGTCGCATTTGACAATTAGATGCTTCAATGCATGTACCATCTAAACACGGAAATTTCGAAAAATGACAAATTGAATTCGTACGATTTGATAAATATATCCAATAACACACTTGCTCATCAGTACCTTCCTCACAGTCTTTAATTCCATCACAAACACGATTTGCCATTAAACAAGAACCATTCAAACATCGAAATCGATCTCCCAACATTTTATTGTCGTCTTTACACCAAAAAGTGTTTCGTTCATCTCGACCACCTAGACAATCGTCCTTATTATCACCTGATTGAGAATAATCAATACAAGGACGAGTATTCTCAGGATCGAGTATAAAATCGAACGTTATACAGAAAAACTCCTTGGTATCATTACATTTGCTTTCCAATAGAAAACGTGGTTGATTATTAGGACAGTTAAGTTCATCCTCACCATTGGAACAATCCCATTCACCGTCACAACGCCATTCTGATTTAATACATTGACCAGTTTTATTGCATTGAATATATTTCTTTGCACAAATCCAATTTGTACAATTTTTTTCGTCGCTACCATCCCATGTATCCCAGATTGAATTACAATAGTGATGAAATCGCACACGAACTGTGCGAATTTTTTCGTCACTGCGCAAGATTTCACATATGTGCAAATCACCTTCTAGACATTGCTGAGAATTCCAGTTAAAAAACGGCGATATTTCGTCAGATCCGTCTTGACAATTTCGTTCTCCATCACCAAGTTGATTTGTACTTACATATTGTATCGGTATTGATGATGAACATCGATAACGATAACGTCGATTTATACTTTCGCTCATCAACATTAATTCATCTTCTCCATTAAAACAATCAATATGGCCATCATTGATACGCCATTGGCTAATGACACGTTCGTTCGATTTACATCGCCATAAACCGTGTGAAGTTCTTGAGTGTGATGTTGGCAGACTTGCAAAAGTTTTTGAGCATGCAATATAATGGAATGGCCATTGATTGTATTTAGAGAGTATATCGATGGATGATAAACAGAAAGATTGATCCAGTCTGACAACTATTTTATTACAGGTAAGAGATCCGTTAAAACAGTAATATTGTGCTCGTCGATACGTTTCATTGAGAATATAAGTATAAGTTCGATTAATAATAGACGATGCAACGATATTTTTGTTATAACGAGTTTGAACATTAGCTGATATGAAAGAATGTCGCGGAAAGTCGAAATCCAAGGTACAATACTTTTGAAACGGTTGAATATTTTTCTCTTGTCCTGTCAATAATCGTCGAAAGGCCGATGTGCACTGATTATCTTCCGTTAAATTCTTATGAATCAAAGAACTGAGTAAACAAGATCCATCATTTTCTGTTGTTGACAATTTGTTCACTGCTTTCATTTCACAACGATGAAAGAGATCTCGATAATTAGCACATCCATCTTGTTGATCATCAATGTGTTGCCATCTGAGACATGCACCATCACCACATGAGAATGATTGCTGACTACTACACAAACGTTCAGCGCAATCGGACCTGTATGGAAAAAGTCGACATTTGTTCGTGGCGTTCATCAATCGTTCAAGTCGTTGTTCGTCCGACCCATCCTGACAATCAAATATTGAATCGAAAAACCATTCTTGTGGAATACACATGCCATTACGGCATCGATACTCATTCACATCACACTCATTTACTTCTAAAAGTTCACATTCAAATTCGTCCTCACCATATTGACAATGTTGAATACCATCACATACATAACGCCAATCAAGACAATTCGATCCTGTATTGCATTCAATATCATTCAGACACCACTTATCGAAGAATGAATGATATGCATTTAATTTTAATTGACTTGTTAATATCGTAATAGGCGTACTTTTCATATTTTCCGATTGATATTCGCAATTCAACCCAAATCTATCCTTACTACAATTGCACACATATTTATTTTCATGATATCCGAATGATGAAGAATCTAGAGAAAGATAGAGACCATATAACTGAGCAACGTCCACTGGTATAGACCAGTTAAGTAATTGTTCTGCACTTATATTTTGCGATGATAGTTCCAAAAATGTTCGTCTATTTATTGGAGGACACGATGAATAAGAGATTCGGGATGTCAATGGATTTGTCGGTCGACGACAATACCAAATCGAGTCAAGAAGCAAACAATCGTAATATTGAAGAGATGACGATGGGAATGACCAATATAAAAGCCAATCACGTGCGGATAATTGTATAACTCGTGATGAAAATAAAATTATAAGGAAAATGTTTTGTATTAACATCATATATCCTCACTCTTTCTACTTGTTGCGTCTTTTATGCTGAATAAATTCCAAAAAGTTTTCTGATCTTTCTACTCCGGATTTTTCCTTTTTCTTATTTTCTTTGTCAGATTAATGTTTTGGGCTTATTTTTTCCGGATTGCGTGACAACACCGATAATATTTGTCAAAGAATTCTTTTCTCATAGAATATTCTATGAAAAGTTGTTTTATTTGCTATTTTGTGCATGACTTTAGAACATGATTTAGAAAGTCATGTTCTAATTTTAATGTTTAAAGAAAAATGAACCAATAAACAAGTGAATTAATGAATAAAGAAATGACTAAGATAATGGATGAATAAATGTTGAAAACCTATCTGTCCTCTAGGTAAAATGATGACTCTCGATCATTGAAAATAATAAACTAATGCATTCAAAAACAAATGACTGGATTTCTCCTTCCGATGATTCTTCTTCTTATTGACTTTAGAGTCATTTTGATTTTGATGTGTTGGGAGATTTGATGCTGAGCTGCAATCGATGGTTGGTACTGTGGAGGACAAATGAAAAATTCCTCTTTCACCTCAGTCGGCGAAAGTCCATCGAACTAATAAAAAAATTCATTAGGATCGGTTGCGTGAGACATGTTCGTTCCGCATTTGAAATAAAGTAAATGATCGCTCATCGACTATGCGATCCATGGATACGCCTAGGGCTGTGACAGTTACCAGTTACCGTTACCAGCGTTCTCCGTTACTAGAGGTAACGGTAACTGATATAAAATTAATAAGCATCGTTCCTCGTTACTGGAGGGTAAAGGATTTCTTACTGTATATCAATTACCATTACCTCTACGAAGGAGGAACGATGCTTATTAGTTTTATGTCAATTATAGTTACCGTTAGTAACGGGGAACGGTGGTAACGGTAACTGGTAACTGTCACAGCCCTAGATACGCCTCAGAACGAGAATTGATTCGAAATGCAAATTATTGTTTCGGCTCAATCGAACCGGTTCAAATGAACCATTCGAATGTCAAACAAAGAGCCAGAGAACCCTGCTAAAAATCTTCTATATCTAAACTCGCACTACCCAAACGTTCGACTTCATCGATTAAATTCGCCATGTCTTCGGATAATTTGACACGTATCTTCACATGTTAGATACGCCAGAAGAGATTCTTTCGCGTCGTAAAGTGACTTTTTAGTGGCAAAACTAGATCAACTTTTACTTAATAAGTATCAAAGTACTTATTATTACTAGAAAAAGTGTTATTTCAACTTTTTTCGAAAAAATCTAGTAATGTTAAGTACTTTGATACTTATTAAGTAAAATCAATTAAAAACGATTAAAACCGCTTATAATCAATTATAGCAAAGTTTTGTACTTAAAGTTTTTCAATAAATAATATCTAGATAGGGTTTAGTATTGCAAGAAGTTATTTAGTCGGTATTTGGTATATATCAGTTTTTCGTCACTTAAGCCGACAGTTACTGAGAAAAATTGTTCAACGATGGATAATAATTTTAACCGATTCTTCTCTATAGAGAGGAGACGGTAAAACATAGATAAAAAATATAACTATTTGGGGAACGAATGAAAGATAATAGGCCATAACTGTACTTATTGTGAACCAATTACTGTTAAGGTTATTGCGCAAGAATACTCAATGCTATGGTGCAAGAATATATTCAAGGTTATTGCGTAGACCCTAGTCATCGTTATTGCGCAGAGTCTACCCATACGGTTATCGCGCAATATTTCTTATATAAATAGATTAATTTTATTGTTAGGAGATCTTTTTTATTTGTAAATAAACGTTAGGTGAGAAAGATCTTAGGTCACTCGTGAACCTAACATTGGTGCACTAGCCGGGTTACTGTCAATCCAACATTACAGTAAGGACAACTAATCAACATCACAGTAGGTATAATCGAACGCAAACAAATCAAAATGAGACGACGTTATTGTCAACAAAAATTCAAACAACAGTTCAACACACAAACACGTTATACAGATGATCAGTGGCGGCCTCTCTGCCTTTCGAACCGATACAACACTAAACAGCAACACAATCTTAACTCCTTTACAGGCGTCTGGGGTGGACAATCTCACATTCATCAAATAGTGGTGGTTTACGATCAAAAATGTACAATCGTTCCTGGGATCGACTTTTTACAAGCAACAATATAGTCACGAATCACAACGTTGTTTGGTGAAATTAGAATATGATCAAACTGAGTTATATGCTGAATCTAGTGCCATATTTCAAATGCCATTTCAAGGTTTAGAAGATGATGATATGGATCATGATAAACCAGCATGTTTGAAACGTATAAAGTCAATGAAAAGTAATCCATCATTCATTATGAACAACAACAAATTAACAGCACTGTCGGAATATTTAGATGATCAACAATCAGAAGATGGATCAGAATCGTATTGTGATACCGATTTAGATGAATTATGTGTTGATCCATTTGATAGTTGATATACTTCTAGTGAAGCAGGTGAAGAAGATGAAGAAGAAGGATTCTCAAAAACAAATTCCAAATCCATAACATTAGTGATAACGCCAGCAACAGTGAGAAAACACTATCAACACGTGCGTGATTTTGGCTGTTATCTTCAAAATAAATCACAGCGATTTATAGAAAGTGTCACGAAACGAATACCATCTAACACAGAAAAAAGATTAAAAAAAAAAAAATTCATCATTTGAAGAACAACTCCCAGTTTTTGACAGGGAAGAAATTATGTGGCCTGAAGATGGTGAGGTATGGTTTCACCATGAAATAATACAACAACATCAACAATTTATTCGATCAAAACCATCTCATTCACATGATTCCGCAAAGCATAGACAAATGATAACAGCTGGTAGTGAACTACACGAAATAACACAATTAACAATAAATAACCATAACCATAAGCAAAATCAACGCGAAATGGAACATAAATTATTGAAACCATAAGTACAAAAGCGTAAACAACGACAACGACATTCATGGCTCCAAAAACCAACACAAAAAGCTGTTGAACAACAGTCAACAAAACAATCTTCAGTTTTGGGTACTACAAAGGACATTTCATCTGATTCGATTGCACGGAAGCCTCGAATGTCCTCCAAACAAACAACGTATTTATTTCCTGGGCCAAATTTAAAATCTTCACTGGGTGGTAGTTGGATACTAAATACTCGGGTTTTATTGTCATTGTTGCTATTGTCCATATTAGGTGGTCGATTGTTACGGAGTCCCACACAATCGATAGCTGGTGATATTGATTTCCCTGTTACTGGTCTCATTGTGAACTTTGACTCGAATAAACTAAGCCTATCATGAATCATTTTTCTCCATTTTTCGAAACAATTCATGATAGGAAGAACTTTGTAATTTTTACTGCATCCCTTCTAATAACTTTATGAATCAATTGGTCTAATTCATCAATATTCCGCGATAATGCCTGATTTAAGTTGTTATCTGACATTCAGACCACTATATCGAATGGCTTTTTCAGGGAATTTGAAATTATGTTCTTTGTCTGTTAGAGTTGAATTTGCATTGTGTAAGATGATTCTTATAGGGTGCTAGTGGTAGAATACATCACTCCTTTTTTGCTTCTGGGTATTGTGGTTCATTGTATTGAAGATCCCTGAAAAACCTGATTTTCTAGAAATCCTGCAAAGCTCAGACATAGTCCGGGAACTTTTCTGAGCCCATTGTTGGATATCCTGTTCAATTCTGATAAAAACTGAGACATCTCCCAAGTTTTTCTGATGCTCCAATAAAAAGTTATAAGCAAGACGGCCAGATGAGTTTTTTTAATTTTTTTCTTTGCAGGTTTCTACATGCGCCGGAAAATATCCGAATAAAAATAGCACGCTGGCCGTTTTGCTTATAATTTTTTATTCGAGCATCAGAAGAACTTGGGAGATGTCTCATTTTGTTCAGAACTGAACAGGCTATCGAAATATTTGCTCAGAAAAGTTTCTGAGCTATGTCTGACCTTTGCACGATTTCTGGAAAACCAAGTTCTCCATTTCGAGGCAAGGAGTATTAAAAGTACGAAAAGTAAACGACTGTTGTAAACTGTCATATTTCCATCGTGTGTTCTTTTCTTATTCATCAGAGCAGAGTATAAAAGAATAATCAATTGTAAGGAAAATTTGTCAAGTTATTTTTGATTTACGAAATATTTTGCAAGTACCATCTAAGGACATGTTCTGGACTTTTAAAAATTTAATTATTATTTGACAATGAAAAAACTAATCTTTTGAAGATTAGAAAGGAATAATTACTGGCTAAGCCCCAAAGATTATTTCAAGGTTAGAAAATAACAACTATAAAGGATAACATATTTACACACGTAACAAAACAGAAACCATGTTGATTCCAACAAACATTTTTCTTGCTGTTTTAACTTTTGTTTATGGTCAGACTCGAAATGCAGCGCAATTTGGTATGATGATACAATTTCAAGGTCTGAACGCAATGGAATATGAAGGCTATGGATGTTGGTAAGTACCTGCATACTTCTTCCAAGAGAGAAAAGTATTTGTATGTGTTAGGTGTGGATATGGGACTAAGGGTGATATGACCGTTGATGCAACTGATCGTTGTTGTCAAGTTCACGATCGATGTTATGACGAAGCACAACTTACACACAACGATTGTCTCTTGGGTAAAGCAACATTGACTACGTATGATGCTACTGATTATGCTGGTGATATTAAATGTACCGATGAACGGAATACATGTGATTATGCTGTGTGCATGTGTGATCGAGAGGCTGTCAAATGTTACAAAAAGCATGTGGCAACATTTGATTTAGACTTTGATAATTGGGAAGGTGTTTGTGATCCATCTGATACAACGACCGAAAAGTGTTTCGATGCTTGGGACAAAACAAAGGTTTACGTGAACGGAATGGATGTTTCAAGACATGGTATCAATTACAGAGCGAATCATTGGTCACTTGGGAGTCCACCAGAGTTAAATCACAATTTTGGAAAAGATCTAAGTCGAGAATTTGCTAAAGGAAGCAAATGTAGACCTGCGTCATAGAGATTTTTTCGTTTGCTTATATTAAGTTAAGAAATAAAAAAAACACATCACATGATGATATTTATACTTGTTGTGTTTGACGAGTAAAGGATGATGAATTAGCAGCAGTAGTAGTAGTAGTACCATCACCATCACCACTAAAACCACCAATGATGTTGCTAAAAGTGAACTCGATAATGTGACGAATTCAGATAAATTCGGGCATGAATATAAACCGCGATCTACCGCACTACAATTCAGGCAGGACTTCGCTTTTCTTCCTGAAAAAATGTCTATGTACAAATCAATATCTTTGACGGCCCAATTAATCAAATTCTCTCTTCTAACAAGCCAGCTTGTCTTGTGGTCCCGAAATGTTTTTCAAAGTGGAGCCGGTAGTTTTAAAGTCAGCGCGCTGTAATGTGGTGCGTAGGAGGGTGCGCACCCGCCAAATAAGTGAAACTTTCTTGTTTTTGTAATGGAAGATGATTAGAAAATGAGCCTTGTTGCTGTCTTTACAAACATTTGAACTTTGAACAAACTGTGTCAGCGCGACACTAATTCAAACCAACTTGGGAATAGCACTATTGGCACTGTCTCGCGGAACTAGTGCCAACATACAAACAAGCACAGATACTAAGAAATTTGTATGCTTCATACAAGAATATTTTCGAAAAAACCTGGTCCGGATTTTATTAAAAGTTCCATGTGAACGGGACTGGAGCCGTCTCGCAGAACTCTAGGCCCCGGTTCTGTAAAAAGTCCCGCGGGATTAGGACTGACTCGCAGACCTCTAGTCATGGAACCACATGAAGTCACACGTTGACCTCTGAATCCTATGTAGCGTCTGCTCTGACGCATACAAATGCGAAAAGCTACGTTTTGATTACTTTCTCCTCTATTGGTGCGATTGTTCTTTTTCATTCGTTCAATGATCAATGCAGTTCGTGCACGTGTGTCGTAACAGTCGAACAGAATAATTTCGAACAAGAACTATGTTAAGTGAGAAAGACTCTGTTGTAACAGAATACGCATTTATTACCATTTCAAACGGATGTAAGCCACAATCCATCAACAAGTAATTAATGCGTAAAAAAAATCGTAATAAATTTTTGCTAGATTCGAAA